GGGAAAGACTAGACGATTTGTTCAAAGTCAGGAGAGAAAGGTGGAAGGGATTCAATAGATATGCAAAGGAGTTCCACAAGCGAAAGGAACGCATTCATCGGGAGAAGATTGACAAAATTCAACGCGAGAAAATTAATTTGTTAAAGATTAATGATGTGGAGGGTTACCTCCGAATGGTCCAGGTTTATTCTCTGAACCAATTTTGGAGGTTTGGGGTTCATATAGCTTCTTCTATGCCATGTTATTAGCAATTTTATTTTTATGTAGGATGCCAAATCAGATCGAGTAAAACAACTACTGAAAGAGACTGAGAAGTACCTTCAGAAACTTGGTTCCAAGTTACAGGAGGCAAAATCTTTGTCAAGATGCTTTGAAAACGAGGCAGATGATACATGTATGGCAAGCGCCTTTGAGGATGAAACCTCTATGGAAAATGAAGATGAGGGTGATCAGGCAAAGGCAAGTCCATTTGACCAATTGTTCCTAGCAACATCTGTTCTGTCTTCCATCTTTTTTCTCATGGTTATCTATCTGGTTTGCAGCACTACCTGGAAAGCAATGAAAAGTATTACATGATGGCTCATAGGTAATATTGCTTCTTAATTATTCTCTAAATATTACTTTCCGGCATCTGAGCTTTTTCACTTTCTTATCTAGACGGTGAGATTATCATATTTCTTTCTACATCTTATTTTGGCACAAAAAGCTCGTTATTTGTGTGCAATTTTGAGATATTGTGGGAACTCCATACTTCAATTCTGTTACTTATAAAGTAATGATTCTGCAGTGTGAAAGAGAACATCACCGAGCAGCCAGCATGTCTGAAGGGTGGAAAACTAAGAGAGTAAGTTGAAAGCGCCTGCCCCTTTCCTTCTCTCGTAACTATGGATTTGAGGAGAGGCTCTATGTCGTTTGTAAATACCTGGCCTGGAATATTTAATTTTCTAAAATTGACTTACAGGTATCAAATGAATGGCCTAAGATGGTTGGTTTCGCTATACAACAATCACTTGAATGGCATTTTAGCTGATGAGATGGGTCTCGGGAAAACTGTCCAGGTATTCAATGTTGTCTGGACTTGTCCACAGTGTTATCGATTGCGTATGGCATTCTACGGCGTCAAGCCGAAAATAGGCCATAGATATATGGCGGACGCCATGGCGGATTATGGTGGAAGTATGGCGGTTAAAAAAATATAATATATTTGTAATAATAATATATATCAATTATCATCTTAACATAAAATTAAAACAATTATAATAAATTATCAATCTATATACAAAAAAGCACCATTAAAAACCAAGTTGATCCAATTCAATTTAAATAAACATAAAAAGAAGAAATTAATCACCATTGAAAAACTAGAAACAAATGAAATTCAACTTAAAAAAAATTAAAAAACAAAACTCATTTTAAAAATCTATGGTATATATATATATATTAATTTGTTATTTTTTTGAAAATTTCTCATATATTCATAAATACTATATTATTTTTTATTCATAAATCCTAACTATAACTAATGATGCATACAAATCACTAACTTTCTACTTTTCATTTTTATAATATAAAAAATTGATTATACAGGTGGCAAAAAGTATTTGCCCATTTTGCAGAGATCATTAACTTTTCATTTTTATTATATAAAAAATTGATTATACATGTGGCAAAATGCACATATGCTAGATTTGTCTTGATTTTTGGATACAGATGCATTAGTTGCATGAGTTAATATTTTACCTTTTTGTAGGTCATTTCTCTGATTTGTTATCTGATGGAAACTAAAAATGATAGAGGTCCGTTCTTGGTTGTTGTACCATCCTCCGTTCTGCCTGGTTGGGTATCAGAAATCAACTTCTGGGCCCCTGGAATTCATAAAATTGTTTATTGTGGGCCTCCAGAGGAAAGGCGCAAACTATTCAAGTACTGGGAGTCTCAGTTCTCTTTCTATTATTCCTAATATATCAGTTATTCAAGTTTAAAGTACCACCCTTTTACTGCAGGGAGCAAATTGTGCATCAGAAGTTCAATATTCTTCTGACAACATATGAGTATCTAATGAACAAGCATGACAGACCCAAATTAAGCAAGATCCTCTGGCACTATCTCATTATTGACGAAGGACATCGCATAAAGAATGCATCCTGTAAATTAAATGCAGACTTGAAGTACTACTCTAGTTCACACCGGCTGCTGTTAACCGGGACCCCATTGCAGGTGGATTCTGTCCCTTTTCAACTTTGTCAATATTGGTGCATGCTCTTGATTTTGCTTTCATTTTTTTTTTCGTTTTTCTTGCTATCTGTATGCTTTTGATCCTGTTCATCGTCTCAGTGTTTTGTTTTTTGTAGAACAATCTGGAGGAATTATGGGCTCTACTTAATTTCTTGCTGCCCAATATTTTCAATTCGTCAGAGGACTTTTCGCAATGGTTTAACAAACCATTTGAAAGTAATGGAGATAATTCTGCGGAAGAGGCAAGCTTTTGGTTGTTTTTTATCATTCAGTTAAATGTGTCATACTAGTTTTCTGGCCATCATATTTTTTTAATCACTTTTTTTATGGTTATCCATCCAATTAGGCGTTGCTATCTGAGGAGGAGAACCTACTGATCATCAATCGCCTTCACCAAGTTCTTAGACCATTTGTGTTGCGTCGGCTGAAACACAAGGTTCATAAAATTATCTGCATTGTTTTATAAAATAAAATACCACACCTATAGCGTTCTCCTTTTATGAATTCCTAAGCTAATTTTAAGATGCACTTTCTTTCTTTTCGTATTTTTTGGGATGGCTTCAACCTTGTGGTATGACATTTGTTTGTCCATATTTCTTATAAATCTTTGTTCACCTTCTTGATAAAATCTTTCTAATTTGTTCTGGTAGGTTGAGAATGAACTTCCTGAAAAGATAGAGAGACTCATACGATGCGAGGCTTCTGCATATCAGAAGCTATTAATAAAGAGGGTTGAGGAGAATCTTGGCGCACTTGGAAATGTGAAGGTGCTGTCACGTGCCCCAGATGTACTCTGTTTATGATACCGTCGAGTTATATTTCTTTCAGTTGATTTTTTTAATTACAGGCCCGTGCTGTGCACAATTCAGTGATGGAGCTTCGAAATATATGCAATCATCCATACCTCAGCCAACTTCATGTAGAGGAGGTATTCTACTGTTTTAACCCAGGAACTTTTATCCAATAAATTCTGGAAACTGCACCTAGAGAGTTCCTGACAACGAGCCTATGTGGGATCATTTTATTTAGGTCAATAGCTTAATTCCCCAGCATTTTCTGCCTCCAATTATAAGATTGTGCGGGAAGCTGGAGATGCTGGACCGACTTTTGCCGAAACTCAAAGCAACGGACCACCGGGTATTGATTTGATGATTCAAGGCTCTGAAAAAATTATTTGTTAGTGGAAGCTGGATTTCTACTTTTCGAATAGTATGTGAAAATATCCCACATTACCCTCCTCTTGCCTCGGGAAGTAGGATAAATTTATCTTGAGGGTTTTTTTATTTAACTGATAACACTCGCAAGAAGCTTTGTTGTCTTAGCACTGAGCAAGGGGAAATAACCAGCTGACCTTTTCTCCACTTATTTCGTAACTTCCGTGTCACGTTATGAACATCTTAAATTATACACAGATCTATAAATTGGTGAAACACTAAGTGATGTCAGAATTTGCGGTTTTGCTGCGTTTTTATTCTAATCTGATATTGCAAATCTTTTGTCGCTCACGAATTCCTGTAGGTTCTTTTCTTTTCCACGATGACCAGGCTTCTTGATATTATGGAGGATTACCTCACCTTCAAGGGTTACAAGTACCTAAGGCTGGATGGGCACACTTCTGGGGGTGATCGTGGAGCTCTTATTGATCGTTTCAATCAGCCAGATTCCCCGTTTTTCATATTTCTGCTGAGGTGATGCATGATATTTCATTGTTAAAGTTTCTTGTAGCTCTTTACAAAATGGTTTGAGTTGAATGCTTTTGAATTTGTTTGGAAGTGGGGCCCATTGTAAATTCATTAAAAGGTTCTTTAGTGGTCAGAGTAAGGTAGTTGTACTGTTCATAAATTTTTGGATATTATTTCTTACTCTTCAATGGGTATGCAGCATACGTGCTGGTGGTGTAGGGGTAAACCTTCAAGCAGCTGATACTGTGATAATATTTGACACTGACTGGAATCCCCAGGTTAGACATTTTCTCTTATCTGATTGCAGTTGATTGGCTTTCAAATTGATCCAGACTTTGTAAAGCTTATGTCCTTTGATATAGGTTGATCTGCAAGCTCAAGCAAGGGCACATAGGATTGGTCAGAAAAGAGATGTGTTGGTCCTTCGATTTGAAACGGTATGAGTTTCTTGTTTCCTGTCTTCAAAAAATTGAAAACATATGTAAAAAATAGTTGTGCTAGTCAATGTATGGGTGTACCATGGTTTATTATTTTCAGTAATTTCATTGCCGTGGCTCCTTTAGGTAGTGCACTGATTCTTTATCCATGGTTGTTTACCTCGGTTGAAACATGTTGCATGTAAGGGACACTTTTGGGATGCATATATTTGTCTGACTGCCTCCTTTCCACTGTCAAGTACCATTTTTATCATAAACATTGCCTGAAATTTAAGTTTCTTTCGCTTTTCTGTATTCTAAGGTCAATACTGTTGAGGAGCAAGTAAGAGCTTCAGCAGAGCACAAACTTGGAGTTGCTAACCAGAGTATTACTGCTGGCTTCTTTGACAACAATACTAGGTGAATCTAGAGATGTAACATTTATGCCTAAAAAATGTTGGCGACCAACTTTCTAAATGTAACTGTAATTTTTTTTTATAGTGCTGAAGATCGTAGGGAATACCTGGAGTCTCTTTTGCGGGAGCCGAAAAAAGAGGAGGCTGCTCCAGTTTTGGACGATGATGCCTTAAATGATATTATAGCTCGAAGGTAACCACTGCTTATAGTACTATAATCTAACCTGGATTTTTGGACTTCTGCAAATATTTTACCGTATATCGATATAATGAATTATTCCCTTATAATCATCTTCCATGATTGATCTAGCGCTTCTGCTCTAGAATGACATTAAACTGGTTCATGCAGTTTTTTAAGTTATTTGCCAGCCTTGTTATGTTCTGTCATATCTATCCATTTGAATTTTCCATGCGAATATCATCCTCTGGGGTGTTCTCATGTTGTTGAATAGTATGCTTGGTATCTATTCTACTCTAAGATGACAGAGAATTCCTTATACAGTCTTCATTCACCTTGCATTTGAACTTTGTTACCAGTTGTAACAGCTAACTTGTCTTTCCAGTGAGTCAGAGATCGATGTCTTTGAGTCAGTTGACAAAGAACGAAAAGAAAATGAGATGGTATGCCTGTTCTTAGTTACTTCATTGTTAGTTTGTTTTCAACCTTTTTCCACTGAACACCTCTGGCGCTGCAGGAAGAATGGAATAGTTTGGTGCTGGGGTCGGCTTCAAATAGGAATTCCACCCTGATTCCACCCTTACCCTCCCGGCTTGTAACTGAAGATGACTTAAAACAATTTTATGAAGCAATGAAGTTAAATGATGTACCAAAAGTTGCTATAGAACCTAATGTTGGCATGAAGAGGAGGGGTGTTTATCTTGGAGGTTTTGATACTCAACAATATGGAAGAGGGAAACGAGCAAGAGAGGTTTGTCGAGTGTTTTCTTCTCACTTTACAATAATCACCTAAGATATCCTACCATAGTATTTTGCCTTCTCATTTGATGTATTGACCAATGCGACCACTTTTTATAGGTTCGATCTTACGAAGAGCAGTGGACAGAGGAGGAGTTTGAGAAGATGTGCCAATCTGAATCATCTGAGTCTCCCAAAGTGAAGGAAGAAGCAAATGCAAAGACTGTGCCAAAAGATACATCCAACGTTTCAACAGCGAACTCTGGAGATGCAACACTCCCCACATCTTCTACCTTACTAGTGACTTCACAATCTGTGGATCCCCAACCGCCACAGCCGCAGCAACTACCACTAAAAGAAGCAACACAATCTGTAAAACGGGGACGTGGAAGGCCAAGGAGAGGTGATAAAACTTTGACTGGATTAGTACCTCCAATTCCAAGTGGGACACATGCAGCAGGGGAGTCCAGGTCATTAACAATAACTGGTTCTGATTCTGCGAGCCCTGAAAGAAAGCAGGAAACAGCTTCTTATCCTAGTTCAGCTGTTCCTCCAACTTCGCCTGATATGTCTGTTCCTCCTGGTTTTCAATCACTTCCTGGAACCTGTTCAGCTCCGATGCCAACTAGAGGACGGGGTAGGGGAAGAGGCAGAGGGCGTGGAGTGGGAAGGGGAAGGAGACTGGATAATCTCTTGCCTGCTACTGACAGTTCTATAGGTACTGGAGCCGTTAGAGCTCTTGCTAGTGATCCTGGGGCTTCAAATTTAGTTACCATTCCTGTTTCTACAACTGAGACTACAGCCACAGCTCACCCTCCTTGTGCAGGGAGTACATCAAATCCTCTGGCTGTACCTCCAGTGCCTTCTGACATAGATGCTCCGCCTGGTTTTGATTCAGGACCTCACACACAATCACAAGATAGACCTGTAGATTCAACAGGAAGAACAACTGATGTAATGAACAAGCCTGATGCTTCAGATGTGAGGAATCATTTAGGTAATCAGTATCCTGGAGTTCTTTCGAAGCAACCAGTTAGCTCGCCAATCTTGACGGGCCCTACCTCTTTGGGTAGGGAATTTGCACCTTTCTTTCTATTTTACATATTCGCCTAGCTGATGTAATTAAAGCATGCCTGAAGATGTTGGATTGTGCATTACTCTTGAGATGCTCAATGGAATCGTTTGTTTTTCCAGGTCCTGCTCCGGGTCCAAAACAGACTTCTGTCTCTTCGGCTACTATGAGTCCTGCCCTTTCAAATGCTAATCCTTCAATCAATTCCTTGCCTGTTTGTTCTAAAGTTGAAGAAGGTACACATTCTGTGAAGAATCAAAACTTGTTTAAACCTGCTTCGAGTCCTTGGGCTTAGCTCTCTTTTGTTATTATAGCTTATACGGTGCTCTACTACGTTCATTCCAGGTACCACGCCTATTAGGAGGCAAGGCCGGAAGATGCAAAACAGAGAAGAAACTCCTAGACGCCGGGGAAGGAAATCTCAAGCATTTTCTGCTTCTGATGGCTCTTCTGCACAGAGCACAAGATTACCGCCGCAAACAGCGATCAAATCTGGTGATTCATCTGGCAGCAAATCTATATCTGTTGGAAAGAAGCATTATACTGTTGCCCGAGAAGAACCCCCTTCCAGCCAGTTTGTTGCGCATGACGCTCTCTCTTCTGGTAGTATAAGTCAGGATATAAGAAAAATAGAAGCTTCTGGTGTTCCTAGTTCTGGCAGGGTTCCGACTCCTGATGTTACTGATGTTGCTCGAGTCATGAAAGAGATTTTTTCAGAGACTTGTCTGTCGAAACCTAAGATCGGGGAGCCATCCGAAACAGTAGGGAAAAATGTCTCCAATGCGCAATCCACGGGTATGTTGGATTTGCACACTGTTGAGACCAATAACACAGGTAAGAAAATGCAAGCTGCTGAGCCAAACTTGAGTGTAGCGCCTGTTGCTGGTATCTCAGTCGAAGAGCAAAGATCAGAGAAGTCATTGATTGTTGATGAGAATATCAAACCTTCACCTGAATCTGAGGCTACTGTTCCTCAATCTGACGATATAAAACCTCTGAGTGTTAAGACTACTGACTCCAAAAGCCCTGTAGATGAGAAGTTGGTTGACACAAACACGGAAGGCCAAGCAATAGATTGTCAAAGTGGCTGTCATCTGCAGCAGACATCGGCTTCTGGTGGTAATTCCTTTGGAACTTCATCTGGGACTTCTATGCAAAAGGAAGAAGTACCTATAGCATCTCCCGTTGTTCCAAGAGTATCCCAGATGACTGAAAATATGTTTGGAGTCACCTCAGAAAAGTCCTTGGAAACTTCTCCTAAAGGTTATGTTTATAATATTGAACCTTCTGCAATGCCCTTAAATGCCGATGGGATCTGTTCCACAATGCAGCTGTCCTTTTCGCACCCTTCAGCATCAAGCGAACAGGGTTCTCCGAAGAAAGCTGAATCTCTTGCAAATATTCATGAATCTTCTCCTGTTGACTCAGGTACTCGAGGAAACAAGATTATTTCCACTGAAGCTGATGGTGCCAGCAATTGCTCTGGAATTAGTACGCAGGTACCGGAAAATTCAGATAATTCTCCAACTAAAAATACTTTGGAGCCAAGTGGTATCAAATCCGGAAATGGGGAATGGCAGGGACCTCCTGTGAAAACTGGTGGAGATGCACATGTGGATGACAAACCTGTGAAGTCTCCAATTCTGGTAGTTAAAGATGATGATACCAAAAGGAAAAGAGAGGACACTTTGCAGGGTGAGACTTACAACTTCGAGCTGAGTTCTGTTGAAAATCTGCCATCTATCCAACAATTTGATGGATTGCCAACTGTTGAATGTAACCAGGAGAATCTCAGTGGGGATGATCTACAGCCACCGGTTGAGATTACAAACGATGACAACTCTATGTCCCTTATTAATAGAAATTATGATAGTCCTTCGACTGATTCTGCCGATACCAAACTACGTCCTGAAGAAGCTCCTTTGACACAAGGTGTTGGTAGTCACAATGGTGGTTCGGGAACAGAAGCTCCTGCCGCACAGATGGAGGACGCCAATGACCTCAATATCCAAGTGGGTGGTTTGACAGAGAATGAGGAGAGAGAAAAAGTTCTTCCATCCAACTTATCTGGAGATACCCTCTGCCTTGCCGATAATGAGAATGTTCACGATGATGAAGAGAACGAGTCGCCTGAAAAGGGCATTCTTTCTTGCCCAATGGAGGTGACTGAGCACAAGGGACTTGAATCTGAAACACATGGTCGCTCAAATGCAAGTCATGTTGAGGGACCAGATGATCGGGATGAGAGTATGACTAATGACAGGAAAATGGATATATCATCTGTCGAGTCTGGGTGTGAGACAAGTATTGCTATGCCTTTGAGTACATCAACTGATGTCCAGCCCTCATCCTCCATTTCAGTTGAGCAAAAGGATTTGGAGGATCTGATTATGCAGAAGGAGGAATCCGAAGATCCTGAAGCCGGCAAAGATGGTGATATTCGTGTCGTTGATATATCCGTATGCTTAATTCCATCCAGTGAAGAAAAGTTGGCTTGTCATGAAATTGATGTATCCCACCCTGTGGCTGGAAAGGCTGCCCTGTCTCCACCATCTACTCCTAAGCCGGAGGAAAACCGAATTACAGAGAAAGAAAATGCTGAAACTGCTGAATGTTACATGGATGAGATTGCTACAGAAAGTTTGTTGGAACCAATGGGTGATACAGTTATTGATTCACCCAATAAGAACACATCTTGCAGCATGATGGAACAGGAGGTAACAAAGGGATCTGAAACTGTGGCAAACATCGATGTAGCCAAAATTGTTGCCGAGGGTAAGGACTTTTCTGCTTGCCCTTTGATGGAAGAAAAGGTTGAGAATTTATTGGATGAAACGAACAAGTTTGAAGGTGAAGCCAGCATTGGAACTGTTTCTGTTCAGGCAGAGTGTCTGTCAGGGAATGTAGTTGCGAGAATGGATCCCACACCAATGGAGGAAGATGAAAATATGAGTGACAAGCCTGAGGGTAACGTGGCAGTTGATGGCTTGGGGGAAACGGAGGAATCTTCCATGGTTGGCTCTGATGATGAAGCCAATGACAAAGACATCTCTGCTCAACCGGAGCATTTGTCTTTGAGTCCTGATGAAGAGAAGGAAAGCACCCAGTATAAGGAAAATGTAAAGATAGGTTGCTTGGAGGAACGACAAGAATCAAAGATGCCAGAGATTATATCAGACCATGGGGAAAGTGGATCCAGAGATGGGTATGCTTCCATTCAACAAGAGGGCCTATCTACTGATTTTGTTGCAAGTTCTACACCAACGGAGGAAGAGAAGACGAGTGACCCATCCAAATCCATTCAACAAGAGGATGCATCTGCTAATCTTGTTGTGAGTTCTACACCAGTGGAGGAAGAGAAGATGAGTTTGGAGTCTGAGGAAAATGCAACTGTAGGATGTTTGGAGTCCCACGAAAATGCAACAGTAGGATGTTTGGAGGAACAAAAAGAACCAAAGGGCTCAGAGGCAGAATCAGATCTCGGGAAAGGGGAAACCGGTGAAGGTGATGTCTCTATTCAACAAGAGAATTCATCTGCTAATCTTATTGCAACTTTGATGCCTACACCAATGGAGGAAGCTAAGTCAAGTGTTCAACCCGAGAAAGATGCAATGGAGGAAGAATTTCCTTTTCAACAAAAGGAAAATGCAAGTTTGAGCCTTTTACCAACAAAGGAAGGGAACACAAATGACCAGTCCGAGGAAAATGCAATTGGTGGTGGTTTGGAGGTATCAGAAGAACCAAAGAGCTCTGAGGTTGAATTAGTAGACAACAGGGAAGGCGAAATCCATGACATGGACGTTTCTACTCAACAAGAGGATGCATCTACTATTCTTGCTGTAGCTTTGAGTCCTAAACCAATGGAGGACGACAAGACAAGTAACCAGTCCATGGAAAATGAAACGGTGGGAGGTTTGGAAGAACGAGAAGAACCAATGGGCTCCGAGGCAGATTGCAAGGGAGGTGAAACCAGTGACAGGAACATCTTTATTGTAAAAGAGGATCCCTCTTCGAACTTTGTCGAGACTTTGAATCCTACACCAGCAGAGGATGAGAATGCAAGTGACCAGTCTCAGAAAAATGTGGTACCGGTTGGTGGTCTGGAAGAACCAGAAGAGCCAAAGGGCTCCGAGGCAGATCTGCCCTAAAGGATGATAAGGTCCTCGATAATCTTCATGTCTTGTCATGTGTTGGATGATTATAATATACATTTCCTAGAAAGAGGTGAACAATGCCTGCTCCCTGTAATTCCACCAAAATTAATCGAGTTGCTGAATTTGATGTGAGCTAACGTTTTTCTTTTTTTTTTCTTGTCTTCTTCCCTTCTCAGGCACAGAGACTGCTTAATGGGATGGAGAGTGACTCGGAAAATGGAGTATGAAAGGCTAGTATTGTTGTCACTTGTTATTGATTCCCAGATGGATTACTCTCTGCATTTCACACAGGCATGCGTTTTATCGGTTCTTTTGAACCGACAGGCATCGTCTATTTGCAGACCGTTGCAGGTAAATGTATCGGTTCTGGTTAGGAAATTAGTCAGTCATCTGCCGTATTCTAGTGCCGTCGGTCCATTAGATTAGAAATGCTTGTATCTATTAGTTTGTCTTCTATTCTGTGTAAGTCTACAAGTAACAGAGAGCCTCTCCTATCATATTACCTTCAAAATCTTAGAATATGCTTTCTTTAGCTTTAGCTCTTTGTTTCTTGGAAACGTTAGCTGATTCATTACATTGGAAAGAACTAAGTTCTAAGTAGCTTTCGATGTGAGAGCTTCTGATTCGAGTTCTGTTATGTGCCAATGGTGATGCAACTACCCTTCTTGTCTCTCTTTATGGTAACCGGCGGATGCCGGTCGGTTATTCGGATTTTTGGATACTCAATCTCGATTTCGCGGGTTCTTGGGGTGCATTGTCTCGGTCTCAGTTTCACAAGACTCGGGTATCCGAGAGACCGAGATCAAAATCCGGGATACCCCGTCCCCAATTCATGAAAATTTATGAAATTCTGTCAATGTATGTTGATTTTGGGGAAATGTAGTTAATTTTATATAGTAAACAGATCAAGTTATTTTTCGTAAATATATAGAAAATCATGGGTATTTTAGTCCTTTTCTTAAATATTCGATATCTATAAGAAAACCCGTAAAGAAATAATAGAATAAGAAACCATCTTCAGGATTCCTGTTTTCGTCGAATGAGATATTGATCTCGTTAGTTCTGAATATTCGAAATCAGGTATCCATGATACGAATACCGAAAATCCACATCTGCTTAGGAAATGTAGACAGTCATCTGATCTTGTACACAGTTTTCATGAACGGGAAAGGTTTTCAAACGGGAGAGAGTGATGAATTCATGGGCATGTCGGAAACTTGAACTCGGAAGAACAAACGCATGGTCTGTCTCTTGGTGCGTCTCACTTCAAAGATCGCATCTTTGGCAAGATCCGGTCGTATAAAATGTGCCCGCAAGCTGTTCGACGAAATGCCGGATCGAGACACGGTGGCATGGAACACTATGCTGACGGGATATTCCCACATGGGTCTGCACCAGGAAGCTCTCTCGCTTTTCACCCAGATGAGATTCTCTGACGCAAAGCCTGATGATTTCTCGTTTACATCAATCTTGAGCTCATGTGCTAGTATAGGTGAGGTCAGGATTGGAAGAAAAATTCATGCTTTAGTTGTCCTTTTCGGTTACATGTCCTCGTTGCCGGTCAATAATTCACTTATTGACATGTACGGCAAGTGTTTCGACGCTTCCAGCGCAAGTAAAGTGTTTGAAGACATGTGTGTCAATGGCAGAAATGAAGTGACTTGGTGCTCGCTTCTGTTTGCTTATGCGAATTCTGGCGAGTTCCGGGCTGCCCATGAGATTTTTGTCAATATGCCGAAAAGGGTGACGATTTCTTGGAACATAATGATTTCAGGCCATGCTCAGTATGGGGTGATTGAACCATGTCTTAAGCTGTTTAGAGAGATGCAAAACACAGATTGTGCCCCTGATTGTTATACGTATAGTTCTCTTATGAATGCTTGTTCCGAATCATCAGATCTTGTTTATGGACGGATTGTACATTCGGTTATAGTAAAAGCCGGGTGGGATGCTGCTGTGGAGACAAAAAACTCTCTGTTAAGTTTCTACGCGAAAGTAGGAAGTGAAGAAGAAGCTATAATGCAGTTTCAGTCGATGGAGATGGAAGTGCTGACACAAGTGTCGTGGAATTCAATTATTGATGCGTACATGAAAATGGGAGATACCATTAAAGCATTTGAAGCGTTTAGTCTAGCACCCGAGAAGAACGTTGTCACCTGGACATCTATGATTGCAGGATCCGCTAAGAATGGAAACGGAGGACGAGCATTGAGCTTTTTCGTTGAGATGATGAAATCTAGGGTTGATCCTGATCATTCCGCCTTTGGGGCTGTCCTCCATGCATGTTCAGGTCTGGCCGTTTTACGACATGGCAGAATGGTCCATGGCTGTGTGATTCATCATGGCTTTCATGGTTATGCTTATGTCGGTAACGCATTGGTTAACATGTATGCCAAGTGTGGAGACATTAAAGAATCAAGTAAAGCATTCTGGGATATCGTTAACAAGGATTTGGTATCATGGAACACGATGCTTTTCGCGTATGGTCTGCACGGGTTAGCGGATGAAGCTCTGAGACTATACGAAAACATGATTTCTTCGGGGGATAAGCCGGACAAAGTGACATTCATTGGTCTGTTGATAACTTGCAGCCATTCAGGGCTGATAGATGAAGGGGTGAAGATTTTCGAATCGATGAACAGAGATTACGGGATCCCATGGGAAGTAGATCATGTGGCATGTATGGTAGATATGCTCGGTAGAGGAGGGCATTTAGCAGAAGCAAAAGATTTGGCCAAAACATTCCATTCACTTGCTCCAAACCTTAGAAATAGTTCATGGGAAACTCTTCTTGGAGCTTGTTCTACACATTTGGATACCGAGATAGCGGGGGAAGTCAGTCGAGTTCTGGAATCCTCATCGGAAACTTGTGAAGAGACGATCTTTGTTCTGTTATCGAACATATACTGCAGAAGCGGGCGGTGGAAGGAAGCGGAAGAAGTGAGGAGAGAAATGGGGAAAAGGGGCGTGAAGAAAAAGCCGGGATTGAGCTGGATTGAAGTCTGAAACTGAGATATCGGAATTTGTAGACGGAAATCTGATTCACATCATAGTGTTGAAGAGTTTTCTGAAATGCTGGCATTGCCTCCAAATGAGAACTCCTACGAGAAGTAAAAATAGACAAAATGAAGCGAGAAATGGCTCTTAAGAATAGAAAGAGAGAAGAAAACGAAAGAAAGGGGGAATCCCTGATTATAGGTCCAGGGGTTTTGGGTCCGTGGCATCCACTCGCGGCAGGTGCGAGTGGACATTTTAACTTCACACTAGGGTGGCATGTGAAATACACGCGCGACGGAAACCATTTATAGGCTTTTTATTGGGCTGAGTATTTGCTTTATTGGGCTTACATTTGAGCTTTTGATTAGACATAATTGGGCTATTTTGCTTGGTCTTCAGTCATTAAGTTAAGCCCATACGAATATGGGCCGGGACGATTCCGTTGACGGCTTTTTGTAGGGCTCTACCCGTCAATAAAAATAAAATTTGATTACAAATTTTCTGTAATTTGTATAAACACAGGTATCATAATAAGAAATCCTTAATTGGATTTGGGAGTGATTGTTATGGGCAAAGCGTGGGTTATTGGAGGAGGTATATGAATAGTATTTTTGGTTTGGATTCTATTCATTGGCTACAAAATCTTAGCTACCCTTGACGCGACTAGTAAAATCAATTATTTCGAGCTATAACGTATTAAATAGATTAGAACATAAATTTCGAATAAAAAAGGGTTTAAATTTCTGAAAGAAAAAAAATAAATAGAATGAGAAGTAAAAATACACAAAATGAAGAGAAAAAACAAACAAAACGGGAAGAGGCTAAGCGAAAAATGGCTCTTAAGGATAGAAAGAGAAAAAATAACCCATGCAGGGGTGTTGGGTCCGTGGCGTCCACGCGCGGTAGATGCGAGTGGGCATTTTTTAACTTCGCGCTCGACGGAACCCTTTTTCATTGGGCCTTCCTTTATTGGGTTTACATTTGAGCTTTTTGATTTGACATAATTGGGCTTACATTTAAAATTATTGGGCTTACATAATTGGGACTTTTTTCCTGGGAGTTTTGATCCTCTGTGCAAATGAGCATGGGAGTTTGTGCGGGCTTCAGCGTGGGAGACTGAAATTACGATAATACCCTTTGTCGGAAGAACGTGTCGCTTTGACATTTGTTTTGTCTTTTCTTCTTCCATTCCGTCGACGTTACGGTCTGAAACATTAAACAAAGATTCGTTCGTCGATGGCAAAAGAAAATAAAAAGGACAATGTCAATGTAAGAATCCAAATGAGAGAGATTTTCTCCCATTTTTTTTTTTTTTTAAATATTTCTCATGATGATTCAAAAACATTTTTTTTTCTTCAATAAACGTGTAGTATGTGGACGTCGAATTCAAGGTTCCCATGCATTGTAACGAATGCGAGAGAAAGATCGCCGGAATCATATCCAAATTCAAAGGTGATGCATGAAATATATATTATATATTATACATTCTGAATCGTTTCATAATTAAATATCTGGATGCAGGGGTCGAAAAATTCATGACGGATATGAATAGCCACAAGGTCGTGGTTACGGGTAAGATTGATCCGAAGAAATTGGGGAAGAAACTCAAGAAAAAGACTGGAAAAAGAATAGAGATCGTTGCCATGGAAGACAAAGACGAAGAACACGAAAAAGACGACGGAAATAATATGATTTTGGAGATAAATTTGGAATCTTTTGGACCGTTGGATCATTCTTTATTTGGTTATGATTACAGGGATAGAGAAAAATTCATGGTTTTCAGCGATGAAAATCCCAAATCTTTGTGTTGTATCTCGTAGGAGTTCTTGAATTTTTTTTTATTTTGTATGATGTAAAAATATGTTGATTTATTTATAATATAATATATATTTCATGTATATAACGATTTGCATGGGATTTTGCTTTCTTCTTGTTCGGCAAGGTACTCAAGTCTATATTGTGAATTTTCCGATGTGGGAACTGTTCTTCAATAGATGTATATATTCAGAAACCAATTTTATTATCACACCCAGAAATTTAAAAAAAAAACTAATACTTTTGATACAAAATGATAAGATTTGCAGTTTCTTCAACGGCTCTATAACTCCATCTTCATCTTTCTGCAACCACCTCTGTCCAGTTCCGACAGTTGCAGAAGATCTTCCGACATTTTCCGTCTGGAGGGAACTCTATCTAACACGGTTCCTGCTCGCATGGTTAGATCCTGTTTCTGCTCCACAGTGTCGAAAGAATTGTATCGTATCATCGGCTTTGTCGTGTTCTTTCAAAACAAGGCTTCTCTCGGGCTGCCGAGTAAGTTCATGACGGTGGCCGCGATATGGGAAGGCGTCAGCCCGGCCTCGGCCAGCTGATCTGACGGCGATCCGTGGTCAATGTATCGATCTGGCAGCACCATCGGTGTCCACTGTTACGAAAACGGAATTCGAATCAGAATCTTGCAGCGGTTTGATAGCCAGATCACACGGTAAGAATCGGAAATATACAAGTACATACATATATATATATATATGATTCAACAAAAATATATATATATATATGTACTTACCTTGAGTTTGCCGTCAAGAAGACCGTCGAGAGCGAGGAACTGTACAACGTGAGAGCCAAACCCGCCAATCGATCCTTCTTCGACTGTGATCAGAACCTCGTGAGACTTAGCCAGTTTTCGGATGAGATCACGGTCCAGCGGCTTGCAAAATCTCGCATCCGCAACCGTTACATTCACGTCTCGGTCTTTGAGCATGGCCGCCGCCGCTACACAGCTCTGAACCGCCGAGCCATAGCCCAAGAGCGCAACCCTCTCGCCTTCCATCAGTATCCTACCTCTCCCGATCTGAAAAAGAGATCACGAGATTTTGAGATTTTCGTTATGTATAATACGACGAACTCTATCGAGGGTTAGTCGGGTTTTTTCTATCGAGAACTCGCCTCGAGAGGAACCCCTTTGTTTCCCAGGGGAAGTGGGACACCGATGCCATTTCCTCTCGGGTAACGGAAGCAAGAAGGACGGTCGTCTATGGCTGCAGCAGTGGCGACCATGTGGAAAAGCTCGGCCTCATCGGATGGAGCCATCACTACCATATTCGGGAGACACGCCATAAACGTAACGTCGAAAGCTCCACAATGCGTCGGACCATCTGCTCCGACAAGTCCAGCTCTATCCATTGCGAATCTCACCGGCAATTTCTGCAGATCAACGTCATGCACAACCTAGAGAAAGCATCCCGAGAGGATATTCTCATTCAGTCTCGAGAGATAATACCGTATCGAAAACGCTAAATGCTATGAATAAACTTGCCTGGTCGTAAGCCCGTTGCAAGAAAGACGAGTAGATTGCGCAGAACGGCTTGACACCTTCGCAGGCCAAACCAGCAGCGAAAGTAACGGCGTGCTGTTCCGCTATTCCGACATCGAAGCATCTCGTCGGGAAACGACGCTGGAAGAGATTCAACCCTGTTCCTCCTCCCATCGCCGCATGAATGGCAACTACATCTTTATCCGCCTCTGCTTCCGAAATCAAAGCCTCGGCAAAATACGTCGTGTAAGACTGAGTCTTCGCGCTGGTTTTGAACTGTTTACCGGTCGCCGGATCGAATTTCACAACTCCTGAAAACCGTAACGAAGATTAAAGTTTAACCAAACGAAGAACGCTGTGAGAGAATGCATATATATAATGAGGGAAAGGCTATGAACCATGGTATTTGTCGGTAGCTCTCTCGGCGTATGGATATCCGCGACCTTTCTCGGTCACAACATGGATAAGGACCGGTCCAGTTGTCCGTGTACTCTTGACTTCATTCAGGATAGCCACTAGATCGTCTATGTTGTGACCATCAACCGGACCGATATAGTAGAGACCGAGTTCTTCAAACAGCGTAGCTCCAGACCCACTTATCATTCCACGAGCGTATTCGTCAACTTTTGCAGCCAATTCGTGCATCGGCCCACCAATTTGCTTCGTTACACCCTGCAGGGAACAAAAACAAAAGTTTCAAAAACTCAATCCGATGCCCGAAAATCGTCGCTGGAAATTATTATCAAAGAAACGATACTTGCCTTGGCGACTTCCCTCAACTCTCTGAGAGGTCGGTTAGACTGCAACTTACTAAGAGCACTGCTCAAAGCTCCGACAGGAGGGGCCGGTCCATCCAATGTAGCCGTGGGCAGAGAGACTTGCTTGTTGTCATTGAGAATTACGATCATGTCGGAGTCTAAGTATCCGGCGTTGTTCATGGCCTCGTAAGCCTGCCCGGCCGTCATAGCACCGTCTCCTATAACAGCTACCACATTGTTGTTCCTCCCCTTTAAATCCCTTCCCACTGCCATACCTGTTCACAAGAGATACATACACGATTACGCTTCGGTTATCTCTATATATATATATCCAATCTCGCATCAGAGGGACCAAAGGGTTTAAACCGGGCAAATATATAAGCGAATTCAGTATAAATTTTACCGAGAAATGCTTCCTAAGGAGTAAGTGGCAAATACAAATCAGAGAATTCTTCATAATACAGCTTTGGATCGATTTCGTGTTCTACGCTAATAACTAGTGAGCTTTAGCTTATTAATTGTCATATACGATCAAATATAGGCATTTGCCGATATTCTTCATCACACTTCTTATTACTTTTTTCTCGGTCCAAGGCAAGAACCAGAAGAATTACCCAAGCCTGCAGAAATGGTTGTGGAGCTGTGACCGGCGCCAAAGCAATCGTACTCGCTCTCCGCTCGCTTGGTGAAACCAGACAGTCCATTGGTCTGTCTCAGTGTATTCATCTTACCTCTTCTCCCCGTCAGAATCTTGTGAGGATAAGACTGTCGAAACAAGATAACGTCGAACAACGATGAATTAGACACTGTCAAGGAAAGAATACAGTATCAATGGTATCAATGGAGTAGACATTCCAAATTTCGAAACCAGCCAGCCGACCTGGTGACCGACATCCCAGAGAATCCTGTCCTGAGGAGAATTGAAGACGTAATGAAGGGCGACGGTCAGCTCGACGACACCGAGGCTAGACCCCAAGTGTCCGCCGGTTTTCGAGACGTTGAAGATCACATCGGATCTCAACTCGTCGGACAGCTGTTTCAGCTCCTGCAACAGAAAGAAAAACAGCACAAGCCTTTTTCAGTCATGGTGATAGATTCTACTGCTTGGATCGTTTGAAAGGGACCCAAAAGAGAGATTGAACAATGTCTCGGTAGATAAATTCTATACCTTGACAGAAAGATTTTTCATGTGGATTGGGTAATTGATTGTGTCCAGTAAAGGGGTTGGTGGTCTATTGGCATAGTACTCACCCTTCTCTGCAAGTGAGGCATAAACACCACCCGGCTTTCTTTTGGACTGTCCAAACCAAATCAAGGCACAAAAACAAACGAGGAGAAAAAGACAATGGAATTAGAACCTCAAACACAGAATCAGTAACAGAAACCCACTAAAGTGACCAAAAACCCGACAATTTGTAGGCATAATCTCCCGTAATTGCGACAAAGTGTGGCGATAACTAACATCTGAAGGGTTTTTTTTCCTGGGATTAGATTCAATGGAATGAAGAGGGGTAATACATCTGGATTCCGACAAAATGAACAAAACCCAGTGAAAAGTTTCCTTTTTTTCATCTTAGACCCAATGTTCTATGTCAACATCATGAATTAAAATAGAAAAGGAGCCGAATTTATTTGGATTCCGGCAAAAATGAACTAAACCCATTATTCTATTCACGATTTAACAAAATGGGTACTCCAAAATCTACAGAAACCTTGCTAATTTATGGCCTAAAATTAACTGAGAAACCGGATGAAACCACTGGTGCTTTTTTGTCTCTCTATAATTCGACTAAAGTGAACAAGAAACGGCAAATCCGCAAATCTGTGACTAAATATCTTCTCGCTGATACTCTGCAGAAACTTTATATCATCTCCGATCGCCACACAAAAAAAAAAGAAATTCGAAAAATGAAATAAAACAATTGAGTAAATCTTACATGGACGGTGGTTTTTCCGGAGGATACAGATGGAAAATCTGTTGACAAGGACGATGAAGAAGACAAAGGTGCTGATTTGTAAGAGTCTGTCGGTGTAGTTCCTCTGCTTATGTAAGAAGGAAAAGCAAATGCAGAGAGAGCCATTTTCTGATAAACTCAGAAAGAGCTGAGAGAGAGAGAGAGAGAGAGAGAGAGAGAGAGAGAGTCGACGACACTTCCTGAACTGGAGGTGCCACCCAAATTATAAGCACGAGAATCTTGTCATTGAATAAGTAAATAACTGTTAAAAAGAGGGGTAAAAAATTAAATAGTTAATTTAAAAATTATGTAGTCATGAGGATAAATAAGCTACAATTACGATTGATGATGATTATGGTGGTGGTGGTTAGAGATGGTGGAATGCTGTGGAAGAAGAGAGAATTAATGGCAACAAAATACATAACAGTGTGTGTATATATACACACATATATCATATAGTATTGGTAATATTGCTTGACTATGTCCATTGAATATGGAGAGATTTGTTGTTGTTGGAAGCCGATTCTGATTGGACCACGTCACCCAAAAAATCTAACAAGCAGATAGATTCCCACCGTTTCCATTTATATAAATTTTCCGTTACAAGTTGAAAGTGCATGGCATTATCCTTATCCAAAGAAAAAAAGAATCTCCTGAATAAGTGTTGAATGCACACTTATCTACACGGATTTGTGGTTATATATTTAGTAAAAATCAATTGTTATCTGTTTTATAATTGGATTAAAAAAAATTTCCTATCCATATTTGACTTTAGATATAGATTTCCAGCTGTATAATATGACATAATATTAATAAATAAATGTTAAATGTTCAAAATCATTGGACACGGATTTTACAAGTGTAAAAAATTCAGACCTTTGAAAAAGAAAAAAGAAAAACTCGCTAAGAACATGTAAAATGTTAGCGACTCCTAGGAAACTACCAGATTCTGTTGTATCTATTAGTTGTCCATATCTCTCTCCTACCTACCACCTGTATCTCTCTCTCTGTTTCTATTAGGGTTGGACGTTTCGGTTCGGTTCTCCGGAACCGGACCGAACCGAAGCGTTAAAACGGTATTTTTCCCGACCCGAAACCGTTATTATTTTCCGAACGGTACCATTTTTAGAGAACCGAATTTTTTCGGAACCGAACTTCAAAAATCCCGAAAAACCGAATATTTTTAAAGAAAATCTATCATTTTTTTAATAAAACCCGAAACCGAACCGAACCGAATATAATAAAAAACCCGATTGGTACCTATTTTTATAAAACCGAAAGAACTGAACCGATTCATTCCGTTCCGAACCCGAACAGTTTTCCAAAACGCCCACCCCTAGTTTCTATATGTACCCAAATTCCAGACCTGATGAATATACGAGAGTTCATATACTTACATAAAATCTCTATTAATTGAAAGAAAGTGCACAAAATTAATTCAATTCAACTATTTTTTTAAAAGAAAAAAATATCCAAGTGCATGAGGAATTAAATCATATATATAAAAGTACAGTTGAGTGAAGGAGGGATTGACACGTGTCCCATAAAAAATTATAAATTAATTCTCTACCTATTAATTATGTGGATATTGATATATAATGTATACGTCCTTCAATATAAACGATTTTCTTTATCATTAAATTAATATATCAATTTAATCTATCATTATTTTTTTATATTTATTAAATAGATATTTTTTTCTAAATAGACAACTCTCAATAGATATTTAATATATTAACTTATATTAATTTAAAAGTTTATTAATTTTTTTATGTACATAGATATTCATCTATCTAATAACCGTATACAATTATTTTTAATATCTTATAATTTTAATTATTCTGTTATGTATATATTGTTATCTTACACGTATCTTTATATATATATATATATGATATCCTGTATATACAATTTTCTATTTTGTTCATATTCACCACCCCTTCATTTATTCAAATTTGTCTTTTTCCAATTATGTTAATTCCTTTATTCATTGTATTCAACATCTTTTAAAATATATTTAATCTTCATAAATTACATTCATTCCTTCTATCATGCATGTATTCACGATATTCTATGTCTTTTAAAATATAATTAATTTTCATAAATTATATTCATTCATTCTCTCTATCATGCATGTATCTACGATATTCTATATTTTTAAATAGTATTTATTAATAAAATATCTAAATATTTTCATAAAAATTTGTCTATATGTTTTTTTATCTATATAAAGCGGCACGATTTGTTTGAGATTTTTGAATTCAACAGAACAAAATCTAAAAAAGAACAGCCACTACAAAACTTCTAAATCTCTCTCTCCCTTTCCCCTCTCTATTCAATCTCTACTATTTTCATAGCCCTTAAAACAAACATACCACAACTGGTCTCCACAACTAACCTCGGTGAATACATGGTATATAATTCTTTAGTTTTTGGTTGTAATTTTTTTTTGTCATGTAGAGATTTTTTACTCGCAGTGTATATAATCGTGGTGACTATGAAAGTTCAAGATGTTGTCATATGTTACTTGGTCTACCTTTTTTTTTATCTATAATCTTTATTGGAATGTTGAAATAGATATCTAAAAATTTGACTCAGAGAATCTACAGTGGCGTTGAATTGACGTTACCCATATGGTTGGTTTGCTCTTTTACTCTAATACCTTTCATTTTTTATATACGTTTTATATTGCGAATGCGTTTTCGTTTCGTTATTTGTTTATTCGAATAATCTCTGACTTTTAAAAATTAGCACCATTTATTGTTTTTATAATTTTGATTAAGAAATTGACGCATAGGTACAACTTTTGTTTCATTTTTTTAATTTTTCGAGTTTAGGAATTTTTGGAGATTTCTCATTATGGATGAACTTTTTTTTTTATAACAGACAAGCGATGTAATGAAACGAAGATCAAAGTTGAAGGAAACCGATATTTCTAAAAAAAAAAATTGAAACTCAAGAATGCTGAATTGAGATTGGCAGAACTCAAAACCGTATGAAGGCACTTGAAAAAGAAGCCACCACAGCCATGTTGGAAGTCGAGGATTAGCAGCTGAACCTAATTTATCAACGACCACTTGCTCTGGTAAATGTTTTTCTATTATATAGGTCGTTGTTTTCCGTAAAGTTTTCTTCTTTTTTTTCCAATGTTTAAATTTGAAATAGAACTATTCTCTCTATGCATGTTAACTTAGAGAACTTACCATCGTCGTGTTCTTCATATCGTTGACAAGCTCTATTCTAAAATATGAATATGTGGTAAAAATTAGTTAAAAGTAAAATATGCAGTGAATAGTATTTTGTACTGTAGAAATAATAAAAAAGATTATGTTTAAATGCATACAAATGAATATACGTTACTATTTGTATCTTTTATTTATGACTAAATTATGATGCGACGATTGGCTAGGGAGAAGTTAGTTGTCGATCGATTCATCAGAGAAAAAAGAGAGAAGCTATTGAAACACGTGGTGTGGTCGAACAAACCGGAGGCAAAGGATCCAACAGCGGAAAACATGCAGTGCGATGGAAAGAAAATCTATTGTCTTTTGGAAAAGTTGTAATATTTGTAAAAATTCTTTTTTTTAATATAAAAAGGTCTTCTCATATCACTTTTGAATTGTATTTTGGAAAAGTTTTAATATTTTTTAGGAGATTCATCTAAATTTGTCACTTTTTCTCTGGTCATATAATAAAAATAATTTATATTATTTTATTGTGAAGTATTTTACGTTCTAAACCAATATACTATTTTTTTACAAACTAAGAACTAATATTATATCATATTTGTATGTTATATATATTTTATCACAATAATATTAGTTTAACAATCCATATAAAATCAATTTACTTCTAATTTAAACATATGTGAATTAGAGTCTCATTTAATTAGATATTTTCTATTAGTTTCACTTGTATTTTATTAAATTTATTTTTTACTAATCACCCATTGTTTATTTTACATGATCATTTAAGACCCGTTTTGAAGTCTATATGTTTATACGAAGAAAGATGTAAAATAATATATTAAAGATATAAAATATTTGGAACTTAAAAAAATATTTGTTCTATTATTAATACATTTATAATAGTATATCAAAGATATAAAATAATAACTTTGTAAGAAAAATATGTTCGTTTTGAAGTCTATGTTTATACGAAGAAAGATATAAAATAATATATTAAAGATATAAAATATTTGGAACTTAAAAAAATATTTGTTCTATTATTAATACATTTATAATAGTATATCAAAGATATAAAATAATAACTTTGTAAGAAAAATATGTTTAAGAACAAACTGAAACAATTGCTTTTGTATTATTGTTTTTATTATTCTATTTTTTATAAATTATTATTTATATATTTTTGAAACTTAATAATATTGTACAAAAGTTTCCAACTTCTAAACAATTAATAGTTTTTGTGATTAAAAAATAGTAAAGTGATTTTCTTATCCCGAAAAGAAATGTATTTGTTTTATCTTATCCCGAGAAGGAGAAGTGATTTTCTTTATTCCATCAAATTAATCCTGTTGTATTGATTTTTTATTTTGTTTTTATTTTTATTTTAATCAGGTATTGCTAGAGATGTTATAGATCGTAAGAATAAACGGTTTGGATTAGGTCGACCCATTAGTCATAATTGGTTGGATTGAGTCGACCCATTAAACTCATTTGACCCATTTAAATTCATGTATACATATACATACTACTGATACATATGCATAACTATTAATATGTATATACATATAAAGTAGAGATTGACATTTTATTATTCGATCCAGTTTATTCGATTGTATAAGAATATATATAAATAGGTTATTATATTATATTCGGTTCGGTTCGATTTCAATTTGGTAGTTCCAACCAGGACCCAACCTATTTGGATCGTAAAAATAAACGGGTTAGGATGAATCGATCCATTAATAATAATAATGAATTGGATTGAGTCGACCCATTCAACCCGTTTTAAACTATTTAAATCCATTTATATATATACATACTATTCATACATATGAATAACTATTAATATGTGTATACATATAAACTAGGGATTGACATTTTAGTATTCTATCAAGTATATTCGGTTTTATAAAAATATATATATGTATATGTTATTACATTATATTTGGTTTGCTTCGATTTTAATTGGGTTGGCTCAACCCAAGGTCCAATCTGTTTGGATCGTAAGAATAACGAGTTGGATTGGATCGACTCATTAATAATAATAGATTGGATTGGTCGACCCCTTAAATCCCTTTAAAGCATTCAAATCCATTTATATATACATATACAACTCATACATATGCATAACTATTAATATGTATACATATATAAACTAGGGATTGAAATTTTAGTATTTGATCCAGTTTATTCGACTTTATAAAAATATATATATATAAGTTATTAATTATATTATATTCGATTTCGGTCTTTATTAAGAAAATTGGGCATTTTCTTAAGAAAAAACGAATTCGGGTTTTTTAAAATTCAGTTCGATTCTATTCAGTGTTTTAATACTTTTTAGTTTTTTTAACAGTTCATTTTGAAAATGATACCAAATTTTTCAAAAATAATTAGAAGTAAATTTAACAAATACAGGTCAAATTAAATGAAAAACTAATTAAATGAGTCTCTAACTCATATATATTTAAATTAGTAAGGAATTACAAGTTGTATAACTAATATTATTATGATAAAATATAGATAGTAAACAAATATAATATAATCTTAGTTTTAGTTTTTTTTATAAAAGATGTCCAAATCTTTAGTTTGTAAAAAAATAATAATACATAGATTTAGAATGTCAAGTTGATCGAATCGAATCTATTTTATCTAATCGTAAAATTATTTAAAACCTTACTCCGATGTTTTATATTCCAACAAATGGTTCAATAATATAATCCACAAAATATAAACATGCAAATTTTTCACAATTTCGTCTGAAAAAAAATATATTATCGCAATATCTTGAACTTACAAAATATTTATTATTTTAATTTAATGATATAAATGATAAATTCAAAAACAAATACATTATATCAAACTTAAAAAATAATAATAAAAGTATTTAAAATTTATATATATATATTAGTGGTCCATACGATCTGCGCGGGTTACTATCTAAATGAAAACCGAGAATATGATAGAATTGTTTTACGCATGAGAAACTAAGATAACTTCTTTATCGTAGAATTAAATAGTTACTATGGATTTTGGTGGATCAGATAAACTAAATTACGAAGAAAAGAAAGTCCGCACGATTCGCGCGGGTTATTAACTAGTTTGTTTAATTAATCGATCAGAATTTTTCACAACACAAAAATCTATTTGAAATGTGTTAATGAGTTTGAGGGCAACATAATGTGCACTTCATTTACCAAATATCTATATAATGGCCATCTTTCTCCTATAAAACAAGAAATATAGACCAAAGAGTGGTGAAAGATTAGATTTTCTCTTCTAATATTCTGTCTTTAAAATTTAGTTATTGAAATTTTAAATTTTGTATGATAATAATAAAAGTTAAATTTAAATTTTGAAAAATTCTAAAACAATGATTGCTAATAATATTTAAAAATTAATACAAATAATAGTCAGCTAAAAAATAAAAAAAAAATGTATTTAAATAACATGAATACATCAATTTATCACTTGAATAGTACAATTTCGAACTTTTATTTTAAGTAAGAGTATCGACTAAATCTTCAAAATTAAGTTCATCCAAAATATTGTTCTTTATATATTGAATATTTTGTGAGATATATTGGAAAGCAAGTATCACTTGAGTAGTTTAATTTGTATTGAAAAATCATATAAGTAGTTCCTCAACTTAATATATATGATTAGAAAGAGATACACATTATACAACTATATATAAGGTGGAAAAGTGTTACTCATTTTAATTTTTTATATTCTTTATAATCTCATTTTTAAGTTTGGAAGTAAACAAGATATATATTAATTCATTTTAATATTGTGGATATATATTAAATAAAATCAATTGCAATATGTTTATAAATTGGGCAAAAATAACAACCATTTAAAGAATAATATCTTAACAATCTAATCCATATTTGATTTTAGGTAAAGATTTTATTTATGGTGAGATAGATCCATGGGGTATTAGACGATAGAACATTAACAAATAAATAAATATTCATGATATTTTGTATATATCTTCGAACATGATTAATCCATAGATGCAAATAAATTCTATAAAAACCCAAGTTTGGGTGGCCTAGTGGTGAAAGAACATGCAAAACATGTTCTCATCCTGGGTTCAAATCCAAGCGTGGGAAGATACATTCACATAGACTTTTTCAGTCCTCTAGGAGATGTAGTCGATCGGACCAAAGGTCCGGTAAATTTTCGGATTATAAAAAAAAATCTATAAAATAAGAAATATAGACCAAAAGAGTGGTGAGAGGTTAGATTGAGATTTCTCTTCTAAATAATGTTCATTTAAAAGCATACAAATGTATTTAAATAACATAAATACATCAATTTTTAATTTAAATAACTATTTTCGAACTAAACCTTCAAAATTAATATCATCCAAAATATTGTTCTCTGTTGCGATTAATATTAATATCGAATCTTTTTGTAAGATATTTGTTGCAAGTGTTAGACACAAATATATTGTAAGATATTTGTTGCAAGCATTATATATTATTTTTTATATTCAATATGATTGAAGTGACAATACTATAGTTTAATTATCTTTTGATTTCCTTTAATTAACAAATAAATATTTGATAGTAGAAATCATTATTGTAGTTAAAATTCCAAGATTTATGACTATGTTTAAGTTCAAGAAAGGACATCTAATAATTAAAAAATAAATACTTTCAACTAAATAATATGATTATTCAATTGAAATTTTGATTAATGAAGAAAGCTTAATGTTATTTTCATACTTCCACTTATGTTTTCAAAGGAATTAATTTGGTATTGGATTTATATACCGGATAATATAATAGATGTATTGGAGATAGATTTCAAATTCGATAATTTGACCGAACCGTATATTTATAAATCGAGTTTGGTTTTAGTTCATAGAAAGTTAGAAACTCCAACTAGTTATAATTTAAAAACTATATAGTTAGGGTTAAAATTATTTTTTAGTTTTGTTTATCTAATGTCTTTAAATATATCATCCAAATGCTCATGATCTTTTCATCTTCTTTTTGCTTTCCATTTTTGTAAACTTTCGTTACATTTCAATTTTTGTTTTGCTGGTCACAGTTTCGCGATGGAATGTGCCAAAAGATTTCACGTCGCAAACAACCGCAAAATCTATCAAAAAATTGCGATGGAGATATTGCCGTTACAACAACAAATATTATTTGCTTACGAAAATTTTAATATGTCGGAATATTAACTACACAAACTTAATTGTAGTTATGTGCCTTAATAATATTATTCTAAGTTCAGTTCATAAGGCACAAATGCAAAATTCTGTTTCTCTAAATTGCAAATTACAGGTTGTCTATAATAATTTATATATGTAATTTACTATAGTTGATCATATATATAGTTATAAAAGGTTTATATGTATAGAATATTATCTCAACTTTTATAGAAAGAACAATATCACTATTTCATATACTGATTTTTTACCTTAATAACAAAGTTGCCATGTCAAACAAAGGATCTTTGTCATGTCTCATGAGTTGTCAATTAGAAAGTATTGAGTTACTCAACGTTAGGTTATCTCCTTACATAAGCTCGAAAACTTGTCCCTTTCATTACAAGTTTCATCATTTTTTTTGGGGGGGAAGAAAGCAGAAAAAAAAAATGGAGAATCTGAAAGTGTCGGAAGCTCACTTTCTCTTTGTAACGCTCCCAGCACAAGGACACATCACCCCGGCTCTCGAGTTCGCCAAACGCCTCGCCGTCGCCGGAGCTGACGTCACCTTCGCCGCCTGCGTCTACGCATTCCGCCGCATGGTGGTGAAGGGCTCCGTCCCCGACCGCCTCTCATTCGCCACCTTCTCCGACGGCTTCGACGACGGATTCAAGCCCGACGAGAAAAACCCTAACAAGTACGCCTCCGTCATGAAGCTCCGAGGCTCAGAGACCGTCGCCGAACTCATCCGTGACCACAACGAGAACGCCGCCCAACGAGGACGACGACCCTTTACGTGCGTGGTGTTCACGCTCCTCCTCCCTTGGGTCATCACGGTGGCGCGTGAATTCCACCTCCCAGTCGCGCTTCTCTGGGTTCAACCTGCCACCCTCTTCGACATCCTCTACTATTACGTCAATGGCTATGCTGATGTTATCAAGGGCACTGATCACGATCACGATCATGATGACGATGGTTTGATAAGATTGCCCGGCTTGCCACCATTACGTCGCCGTGATCTTCCTACTTTCGTTCTTCCGTCGAACAGCTCTAGCTATTTCCTGCCGGAGTTTCAAGAACAGATGGATATGCTCAAGGAAGAAACCAATCCGATGATCCTCGTCAACACGTTCCAAGAACTCGAACCGGAAGCCTTGAACTCGGTCCCCGATTTCAAAATGATTCCTGTCGGCCCATTGATCACCTCGAAGGACGATTCGTTCGGCGTTTCTATGTGTCAAGACCCGAAGAATTATCTGCAATGGTTGGATACAAAACCAGATTCATCCGTCGTTTACATCTCTTTCGGGACAATCGTAGTGCTGAGCAAGAAACAATACGAAGAAATCTCTAAAGCCCTGATACGGAGCCGAAGGCCATTCTTGTGGGTCATTTCAGAGAAGACATACAAAAGCGAAGAAGACAGAGATAACGAAGAAGACAACATAACGAGTTTCAGACAACAACTCGACGAACAAGGACTGATAGTGCAATGGTGTGATCAGCTTCAGGTCCTGAACCACAGATCGATCGGATGTTTTGTCACTCACTGCGGTTGGAATTCGACGCTGGAGAGCTTAGTGTCGGGAATTCCTGTAGTGGCGTTCCCACAAAGTTCAGACCAGACAACGAACGCGAAGCTGGTGGAAGAATGCTGGAAGACAGGAGTGAGAGTGAACGTTAATGAAGACGAAGGCGTGGTCGAGAGCGGGGAGATTCGAAGGTGCGTAGAGGCGGTCATGGCGGAGGAGACGACGGCGGATGAATTCAGAAGGAATGCGGCGAAGTGGAGAGATTTGGCGGCGGGGTCCGTACGAGGAGGAGGATCTTCGTGTAATAATCTCAAAGCCTTTGTGGATATGCATATGGGATCTTTCTCGAACTAACAGATAGTGTCGGGGAAAAAGCAGAAACGGTAAAATTTACCAAACATAGGAATATAATAAAACATCTGTTTTGTTTTATTTTATTTATCTTTAATGTTGTTCTTCGCATTTTCTAAATTCAGTGTTTTCAGGTTTTGTGCAAATAAGATTTTGAGATTCTCGGATTTTGGTTCGATTTTTAATTTAAATAAGGGAAAAAATCTTAAAAATTACTAAACTTGTATTTTGGAGTAATATTAATTCCTAAACTTGTACAGATACCTATTAATTCCCAAATTTGCAAAATTGAACACGTTAAATCCTGAACTTGTTAAACGGTTCTATATTCGTCTATAGCGTTATTTGGTCAAAAAAACGAGTTGACCGATCCGACGTGGCTCGCCACGTCACGCGCCATGTCGGATCGGTCAACTCGTTTTTTGACCAAATAATGCTATGGACGAATATAGAACCGTTTAACAAGTTTAGGATTTAACATGTTCAATTTTGCAAGTTTGGGAATTAATAGGCACTTCTACAAATTTAGGAATTAATATTATTCCAAAATACAAGTTTAGGAATTTTTAGGGTTTTTTCCCTTTTAATAATAAAATAAAATATCATATAACATAATTGGTCTCGATTTGATAACATTGGGCCTGTTACGGTATTATGGGCTCCGACCGTTTCTTCGGCCTATTATGATGTTATTTACCTGCATTATTTACCAATCTATTTTGTTTTCTTTATTTAAAAAAAAAATAAACTCTTGATGTTAGAAAATTTACAATTCAATCCATTGAATTTGCGTACGATGAACATGTTCAATTAGATATTCTATTAAGACACACTCGAAACTATTCAACGAAAATATATTCAGTATACAGTAATAAACGTCAATAATTAAGATAGATAAAATACAACATTAATGATATTATAAAAAAAACAATAATGAACTATAACCCTAATTCTCCAACTGAAGAAATCAACTTAAAATCTTACAAAACCCTGAAAAACAATTACACATGGAATATTAAATATTAGAATCCTAATATTTATATTTGATTTATATATTTTGGATAAATTTTAATTATATTTTCGTCCTTGTAAAAAACATAGTATTTACAAATTGATAACACAATAAAGATTGTGGAAATGGGATAATTAGAGGCGCAAGATAACCAATGTGTGTAATACAACAGTGACACAAGATCAAAATCCAAATTGGATAATCGCCCAATCAAATCTCAACCATAATTTTTTTAATATGATAAAATAGTAGTTTGAACTTCTATATTTGCAAATTCCGAAACAACTCTTTGCCGAGCAATGTGGAGGGATAGGGGAAGCTTGGCTATGTTTAGGGGTGGACATTTCGGGATTCGGTTCGGAATTTTACCGGTTCGATACGAGAATGATTTATTTGCAATTCTAAAATTTGCACCAAATTAGTACCGTGTATTATTCGGTTCGGTCCGGTTTCAGTTTTTTTTTAAAATAAAATTTAATTTTTTATAAGAAAATTTCGGTTTTTCGATAATTTTATAGAATTTGGTTCGGTTCGGTTTGGTTACGGAAAATTTGATCTATAAAAACATACTCTTCGAAAATTTTAAATGATACGATTCATCGATTCAGAAAAAATACCGAGATTTTTTATTCGGTACAGAACCGAACCAAAAAGTTCATCCTAGTGGTGTTACCATGGTAGTGAATTGGGCAGGAGCATGGCTGTTTCCTTCCCTTTCAACTCGCTCCTCAATTAGAATTCTTCCGGTTAATCTAAACCCTAATCTTTAATCATTTTTTTAATCCTCTAATCATTTATTTTTTTCTTTTTTTCTTTTGATCATATATATATATATATATTATATATATATATATGTATGTATAACTGAGAGTTCTGAAAATGTGTGTTGGCAGGCACATTTTACATATTTGCAGCGTTTTCTTCGATGGCAAATCATATTCGTTTCCATGATGGTTCCAGAAACCAAAGGGAAAACCCTCGAACAAATTCAAGATTCAATCAATGCTTCGAACACGTGGAGACAGAGAGAGAATATATATATATATATAGTGTGTATATACGGTAGTGTATTTATGTAGCAAAGTGTAGCTTGTAGTTTTTATTTAATAACCTAGAGCTAGTGTGTTGTCCTTTCTACTTGTTGTCTAGGTAACTCTTTTCACTATTTTATTAGTTATATAAAATTATAAATGGAAGGTGAGAAAGGATAATGAAGAATCCAATTCGGATAACGGTCCACTCAATTCTACTGAAGTGTGAAGAGAAAGGAAAGAGCATAGGATTCCAATCTTATGTTACGTGTTTGACTCGATACTTAATTAATATATTTTTGGAATATTTCAAGTTAAATAAAAAAAAAAGTAATTTTACCGCAAGTTGGATTAAAGAAAACCCTAGTAGGGTTTTTATGAATAGATTGCATCCAACACAAGAACACAGAGAGAGAGTTTCGACAGAACACAAAAGACAAAGGGTTCCAATAGTTCCAACAACCATGGAAGTGAAGCAGCAGAACGATCTAACCATTATTAGATTTCAGAAACCAATCTCCATTGCAGGGATCGACCCACCAGACGCCACGATCTGCTGCTCCAGCTGCATTGTTCGAACACGTTATATCGCGATTTATACGCGTTTTAAAACGCGATTTTCAATCCATGTATTTGCAGTTTTTGGTGAGATTATTTGTTGGTAGGTTTCCTCACCTTGAGCAGCGTTTCCAACCTGTTCTTCACAAGACAGTACTCCTGCTTCACTTGCTGCAGGCATCTATGGCACCTGAAAATGTAACCCAAGATTCCCTAATCATATAAATCATATATGCAGAAACAATGGACCGACAAATTACAAAAATAAACAAATAAATAAACTTTAATCCGAAATTCCAGCAGCAGCAGCAATATAACAATCAATAGTGATGAACTTACGCTTCTAAGTTGTGTTCCTCGCAGGAGTTACGAAGAACGACACATGCGTTCTTAACTCTCTGAGCTCCTATGCTGGATCATTACATATCAAAAAATTCACAAATCAATCTTCTAGGAAAAAATTGAAAAACACATAACCATGTTCTTGGGGTCGGATCAAGAACTTCGCTTCGATTTTCAAACGACAATCTCTGCGCCGTCCTGAACAGAGGAAAGATCCAAAGAAACCATTTTCCTTTTTTGGACTTCGTGGGAATTGGGGAGATTTACCTGGAGCTGCTGCCTTTGAGTTGATGAACATTGGCATCAACCCTTTTGAAGTCTACTGCTGGTTGACCTCTGCAGAACAGGAAACACAAAAAGGAAAACACTTTCTAGCAACAGAGAGAGAGAGAGAGAGAGAGAGAGAGGAAAAGAGAAGGAAATTACAGGGCAAGGGTGAGATCATTGAGAAGCCTTTCAGAATCTTGGAAGAAGAGATTGACGACTTCTGCGACAAAATCTGGGTTGCTTTCATCTTGAAGTTGCTGCAGCTGCAAGAACTGGCTGTCCAAAACCCCCTTTTTTTAAAAAAAAAAAACAGAAAAAAAACGATGTCAGAAACTGAATTTCACAAACACTCCAGTTATGTCTGAACCTATCATGACCCTTTTTGTTTTTCCTCACAGTTTTGCTGTGACACAGATGAATAAAGAAGAAGATACCTCAAGTTTTGATCCTTTTTTTGGTCAATGATCAGGCTTTTTTTTTTTTTGACAGATCACAAGGTTTCAGTCAAAACCCATCTGCCATTTCCATTACATCTAAAAGCTCTAACCCCATATTATGAAATCGCCAAAGATATATCGCGGGTTTTGCCTTCAAATGTCGTCGAATTACCGCAAGTGATTTGGGCTTCTAATTTGCTTACCTGCTCGAACAACGTCTTTGTGTAGTCGAGTAAGCTCCTCTGCATCTGTGTCAACTCCATCTCTCTCTCTCTCTCTCTCTCTCTCTCTCTCTCTCTCTCTGTGGGTGTTCTTGTTCTCTCTCCCTCTATTTCTCTGTGAATACAGGACGGAGTCACTTCACCAACGAAAAGAATAGAGAAAGGAACAGATTCTCTCTCTCAAAAACCTGTTTTTTTCTTGGGGTAAATTCGAATATGAGAATCCAAAAGAGATCTTTCTTCTTCTTCTCTTCTTTTTATTTTTTATTTAAAAAAAACAATTTATATTTCACTTTATGTAATAATGGTGATTCGTGCTGTCTTCTGTCTACCCGTTCGTCGTCCACCTCATTTTGCGTTTCTCGTGTCTCTCTCTCATTGGTCTATTATCAACAATCATATTATTCTCCTCCCAATTTTTTATTATATCCAAATATTTATTTAATATTATATTGTACAACTCATGAAAGGTTTTATTATATACACATATAAATTGTTTTTTTTTTGTCTGCCCACGAACTGTCGAATTAAGATATCTACTATATAGGATCGTATTAAAACTCGACCGTCGGGCCACATTCCATGTATCTTCAATCTTTTGTGCATCGTTATCGGATTTTATATAATCGATCCACGTGGCTTTGGACCGACAAGCACATCTTAAATATCGGTTCCATGTTACATTGTTCATAATTAACATTCTAATATAATTAATCCAACAAATCTTTTTTGTGAAACAGCTCAACAACTCTATAAGGTACAATTCATGAATGGAACCTCCTTGCATAAATTATACACTTAGATTTTCCCATGAATTAGACTAAGAGAAATATTTTTATACAACACAATAAAAAAGCACAAAACGATGATTCTTGTATATATATGAATCCAGATTCGATTTTCGATTTAGAGAGAAGCATTAACATGTGTTTTTCGGATCTTTTATAAAATGTAGTGAACTTTTAAATTATAAAAGCAATTAATATTTAATAAAAATATGAATTTCTTGGATATATTATTATATAATATTCTGACAGGCAGAAAAAGAGATGGTCGGTGTACAATGCAATTGGGAGCCAAAAATAACCAAGATCAAGACGAGCGAGTGATACAATATTATATGAATACGTACCTGCCATATAACGATGCCCACGACGAGTTTCCTCACGTAGAAAATGCATGGCGTTTGCGTTTTCGAGATTCGGATAATAGGTTATGAGTGCATTATGACTCACCATTAAATACAATATAATATATATATATATATATATATATATATACACACACACACAGACATCTATAACACAACCAAATCATCGTTGTGCCCACCATAATAATGTATCATCATTAGTGATTACAAATATACCTATATGAAACATCATTAACCACCAATTTGGAATCATCCATCGCGACAGACGACAGCCCCCATCTTCTTAGGATGTTTACCAAACATTTTGCGTGAGTGTATACATACATATATATATATATATAATTTAATCTACGTTAAGATAATAAAGTTTATTCAAATGGAAAAATACAACGGAGAGAGTAATTAGCATAATTACAACAAGGGTAAAGAGTACGTAGGTATACGACCAAAGGAAGAGAGGGAAGAGAGGGGAGAAAAGTCAATGAACGTTACGAGTGATCAAACCCTCGAAGACAAGGTAAAGATCCTTGTTTTCTGGTCCGAAAATCTCTTCCGCCTTCGCCAGCGTCTCCTGAAAGAAGAAAAACACATTGCAGAAGCAACAAAAATGTCAAATAATGTCGGGATTTTCGACAGTGGAATGATCAGAAAACGAGTAGGGCTGTCAAACGAGAAAGCTCGGCTCGGAAACGAGCTGGTTTGTTTTGAGTTCAAGTTGTAAGATTTGTTTCCAAATGAGCCGAAACCCCCCGCTTCGGCTTGGATCACCTGGTAAACTAGGTAAACGAGTCGGCTGACGAACCAAATACATACATGATGTTTTTATTCTTATTGCGAAAAAAACATATAAACGATATTTTAATATAGAATTTAAACATTAAATTCAATATAGGGTTTCTTTGTTTCGAACGAAATTAGGATTTAGGGTGAAGTAATAATAATATAATTAATAATATTGTATACATTCTACATATAAAAATATAGAAATTAAAAAAAAAAAAAACATCTCGCGAGCCATGGCGAGGTGGCTCACAATCGTTTTCAAACGAGCCTTAAAAATACCGGCTCCTCAACCCGTTTAAAAGCGAACCGACAACGAGAGAGGATAAGGAGAAGAGGGAAAAAGTGTGAGTACTTGTCGGGTTTGTTTGTGGGCGTTGAGTTCCTTCACGTTGGCTAGAAATGCACCAAACTGCTCGTAGGTCAAACGGCTCCTGCTCGATCAAAACAAAGCAAATAATATAATCACACTGCCAACCGCCTCTAAGGGCGAATCTTGCATCCGTTATTAGCGAGACGTACGTAGGCTCGGTAATAGTATATTTGAAAGGCGAAAAGTTAGAGAGCTTTCTTGGGTTAACGAGGAATTAAGACGAATGGAGAGAGTGATGCATGTGGGGAAAGATGCTCGAGACGAAGAAAACGGTTGATTCAATGAAAGGTAAGGCAACGGTGTGATCCATATGCAAGAAAGGTTAAAGAAATCGAAGTTCCGGGCTTAGAGGATCTACCTGACTTGACGGAAGAACTCTTCAAAATCAGAAATGTGTGTTCGAAAATGCGGTCTTTTTAGCCGAATTTCGTATAAAAACCTTAAAAGAGAGTCCGTTGGATTCAAGAACGGTTCAAAATCGGAAATATATGTTCAGAAAGGCAGTCTTTTTAGCCGAATTCGGTATAAAAACCTTAAAAGAGAGTACGACAAAATTTCAAGTGGCTAATATCGCCGTAAACAACTAGAATAAAGTGTTTTACTACCTGATTCATAGGCAAGAAAGAGAAATTATGTCAAATGGGGTTCAAAGCAAGCAAAGATTTGAGCTTATAGTTCTACCTGACTTGACGGAAGAATTCTTTCCCATCAACCCGAGTTCGCCCTGAACAAAAAACGTTTAAGAATTCAACGGAAAGCATCGGCTTCTGAAAAAGGTCAAGAATTTTCGCTGTGGAGTAAAGATTATGGACGTGGCTTACCTGTCTGAGAACCACCTTCTGAGAAAGAGGATCTGTCATCGTACATGCCTCTCGAGGTGGAGAATGACATGGCGTGACGTTTTGGAGACAAAGGCCTCGATGTCCTCGTCGGTGTAGCGGAAGCCGATAAGGTCGGTGGAGACCCATGAGGCGTAAGCCGTGGTGTACTGTTCTGTGATACTAACGGGAAACTGCTCGGTAACGCGGGTTTAGGCACTGCCAATGTCAACCAAAATGAAAACTGAGCCGAGTTCTCGTGGATCGTAGACCGAAAAACTCGGTGCCTTGGAATTACCGTCAGTCTCGTTGTCATTTGAGGCCGAATCAACTGCTTCGGAAGCCTGAGAACGCATCGAAGAATGTCTTGACGGTGGCAATGGAGAATCATCGTCTGAAATAACCAAAAAAAAATGAGATGATCAAGAATGGAAAACGAATGTTCACTAGCTTTCTTGCAACCTGCAACACATGCTAAGAGCATTCCTTACTGACTTAATCTAAAAACCGATACAACATAGATTTATGATCTCGGGTCTAATCTGCTAGACAAACAAGAACTATACCGTTAGGGGTTGGTTTGGCAATGATCTGAGTTGCTCCTGCCTGTTGAAAAGCTCAAACAAAAAACACGAAAAAACTTGAAAAGGGATAGTTCCCTTGAAAGAAAATTATGCGACGTTTTCCCGTTGAAGCTACATATGATTGAACAGAAAAAAAAAAAGGCGAAAAGAGAAACCGGAAGATTAGATTTGGATTCGCTTCATACGTTTTCTTCGTCGTCATGGAGAGACTGCATAAGCGTCTTCCTGAATGCCTCGAGCTGCACCGATTTTGTGAACTGGTTAGCTTTTACCATCCAGACATGGAGTCATCAACTCATTTAACATATGTCCTAAGCAGAAACAGGACAATCAATCTATCAAAGCTTCAAACTTTTTATCATTAAGTTCACACTCTGATAAACATTCATTTGACTCAGCTGATAAATGAATTGCCTTTCAGGTTTTCTTTCCTTATAACCTTCTTATTGGATCAAAGTTTCCGAGTTTAGGCAAAGTTTAGATTGTTGACATTACAATTCTATCGCATTTTCGGAATGAAACCCGGGAGTCCAAAATTTGCTAATTTTAGAAAATTCATACATATAGAGGTATACATACACATATAAGGGTTAGTATTTTCAGCTTCAGTTCTGAGAAAATGATTATTAAAACCCAAAATTAGAAAGGAATAGACGCGTAATCAAGACCCAGGAAAGAATTTACCTTTGACACATCTCTCTGCAGTTTCCTCACGGTACTCGACAGTGAAGCGTTCTCCCTCAGCAAACTTTCCTGCAAATGAAGAACAACGACCAAAAAAAAATCAGATTTTGAGAATAGGGTTCGATTCATCGAGGAAAACAACAATCTGGGTCGGACCTTTTCCCTGTCAGCTCGAGAGAGCTTCTCGAAGGCGTCGGAGAGAGAAGCTTCGAGCGACTCGACCTGAGACCGGAGCTCGGCGAGTGCTCCGTCTCTCTCGGCGAGCTTCTCCCGGAGATCCGACGACTCCGATTGGAGGGCTGTGACACGTGTCGAGAGGGCAATGGACGTGATCTTGCGGGCCACGTCGAGTTGCTCGAACGGATCGGACGGTAGGATTTGAAGAACTTCCTCGGGAAGTTCGAACGTTGTGGAACCAGCAGCCGCACTCGATTCTTCCTCTCCATTCTCCGACATTTTTTTCGTATTATCTTTTTTCGTTTCCTTGTTTCTTTAGTCTTTTCTTTTTCAATTTTATCGCTTTTCGTTTGTACACCGTGACTACGTGCGTGTATGATTATGGTACGGTACAACCCGGTTAACAGATTTATAATTCAAACCAAATATAGGATCAAACCGGAATTTAATCTATAGTACGGCCGTCTTTATGACTTTATCCATCCATGTACATAATTTATTAATGTGTATGAGTTTTTTTATCCGGTATTGCAATTTTCGGTTTTGTTGGTTTAGATTGGTACAAGTCATTCGAGCCGTGGTGTTGTGTATGTGGATTGGATGAGAGAAAAAAGAATGTGGTGACATATGCTTTGTCCTGTATGTATGTATATATATATATATATATCATTTATTTTTATAACATAATGTGTGTGTGGCCATGTTGAGTCTGTCGCATGTGAAAGGATAGAATTCTATCTAGGAAAAAGACAAAACCATGAAGGAACCATCTTTATACAAAATCTAGGTTTGCTATTTAAGTTTAGGGTTTGATTATTCCAAATTAATGTTATAAAAGAAGTTCAGCACAATATATATCATCATATGTTTTTATATATATATATATATATATATAAATTACTACGGGAAGAGACAAAACCATGAAAGAGCCACATATAGATTTGCTATTTAAGTTTGAGATTTGAATAATTTGATTATCAACAAAAACCAGTTTAGAATCTAATTAAAGAAGTTTTTATAGGAAGATATTATTATTAGACGGGTGTCAACCGAACGCAGCGAGTAACCGTTGTCTGTTCCGGTCGGTGCTACATATCCATATCGTCCGCTCCTTGCGTGGATCCTATTTCAATGGGAACTTGATGAGTTGATCCGCCTACACGTCTTGCTTTTACTGCTGTTATAATTTATCCTAGATATTATGCATAGAATATTCTATTGTATTTTGCTATATATTATGATGTATTCTTCCCATTATCAATAATAGAAAAACATTTCCCCTATTATGGTATCAGAGCTTCGGTTTTTGCTCTAATTTTTTTTCTTCTCATCAACAATGTTGGTCGAATCCGAAAGCGACGATGAAGATGACAACGATATACTAAATCCAATAGTATCATCGCCTTGATCGTATCGTTTTAAATTTATTTTGCTCTTTTTTTTTCTTCTATTTTTTCTCTCCGACGGCGGTGTTCATCACTGTCAACCCTAGCCGATGTGATACTCTTTTTTTTCTCTGACGACGTTCGTTTATCGATGTCAATCCTAGCCGTTGTGAGCTCTTTAAACATGCCTTTTAGCCTCTTTCGATTGGAAAACTCCGATCGTCGATCCACGTATTTGCGTCACTTATTTTTATTATCTTCTCTTGTCCCACTGCTAGACTATCACGCATTATGCGTCGCGCTTTTGCGCCCATTTTTTTTTCAATTCTCTGACCTAGCCGCTATATACACCGCAGTTTTTTGCGCTGTCAACTTCATGTCGTGCAACCCAATTCACGCATGCGCGTCGCACTTTCGTGCCATATCAGCCTCTGAGAATACAACTCTCAAGCTCTTCAAACGTTATCAAGCAATACCGACTCAAGTCTGAACTACACCACCACATAGAAGATGATTCATTTAATACGATCACAATTTCAGTTTTCAGTTTTTATGTAACAAGATTGAATTCATCGTAAATGATTCATCTTGGGGGGGCATATATGTCACGAGCCCGTGAATGAGGTAGACAGGTTCGTGCGGCAACCGAGCCTTGGAATGGGTCCAAGGGAAGCTCCGAACGTGCTGGGGACGTGAGGAGGCTTCGGGAGGCTCGGCTAAGCCTGTGGGGGTGTTTGAAGGTGGTCCGAGAGATGAGAGTGGCCTGGATCCGAGGGAGAAGAAGGCTGGAGACAAGGGAAACCGACGGTACGGCTTAGTTTATTAATGTAGGTAAAAAGGGAACAAGGACCGTGCGGCTCGGTACAAAGGGGAGGAATCCGACGGTGGTTTGTGAGCCAACCGAGGATTCCGGCAAGGAAACGAGCCGGCGGTGTAAAAACGGCGTTCGGAGAGCTTGGGATCGAATTTGGGGGTTTGCAGACTTAGTCTCCAAGTTTCGGCCAGCCCTAGTTTTATTAGGTGGGCAAGTTGGCCGAAAATGGAAACTTTACATTTGTCCACTTCCCATATCCTTCCCATGATCCCTACTTGCCTTATTAACGAAATGGAAATGTTCTATAAGTCCCTAGTTTACATAACTCGATCAGACCTATTCCTAATGGGCCATGGGCCGAGACAAAGCCACAAGAAAGGGCTGGACACGTCCATGAACTGGTCATGGACCACATCCGAGCTCCTTAGGCAATTCTCGGGCCATGGCAGTCTTGGGCCGCGGTCTGGTCATGGACATGAGCTGGACAGATCCTTGGGTGAGTGAGGAAGGCCTTGAGGTCGACTTGGACAGGTCTGGACGTCGTCCGTGGTTGGTGACCCGAGCAGAACCCAGCTTGGCCTTCTCGGACGTGCGATAAGTGTTTCCTGTCTCTATGTGCGTCCGTCTCGTCCGTTGTTCGTCCGTGAGTGGTCCTGCACGAACGGATGGACAAGGAAAAATAAATGGACTAGGAAAATGAAAAATTACCTATTTTTCGCCTCACATGCTCCCCCACTCAAATCGGGACGTCCTCGTCACGTCCATGACTTCTCGGTTATTTAGGGATGGTTGGAATCGAATTCACGAAGCTTGTCCGTGAATTGCCAGCAATGGTCATCGGCTTCCCATGTGTTCTGCGAGTCCGGAAGTCCTTTCCACTTGATGAAATACTCCCGATACTTCGGTCCTTTGGCTTTACTTGGACGGCGGTCAAGGATGAGCTCGGCCTCCGTTGTGAATTGAACGGTGGTCGGTATTGGTGCTCTTTTAGACCTGTTCCTGTCATCATCTAAGGGGTCAGCCTTATAGGGTTTGAGAACACTTACATGGAAGACCGGGTGGATCTGGATGCGGTCCGGAAGTTGCAGCTTGTATGCCATCTTCCCGACGCGTTCGATGATCGGATATGGGCCGTCATACTTCCGAGTGAGGCCTCGGTGCAGCATCCTCATGCCTCGGAAGTTATGTGGCATGATCTTCACCATGACTTGGTCTCCTACTTGATACTCCATTGGCCCTCTCTTCTTGTCCGCCCATTTCTTCATGCGGCATGCGGCTTTGTGTAACCACACCCACGTTTGGTCCGTTTCTTCTTGCCATTCTCGGGCAAAGGTGTGAGCAGTTGGGCTGGGACCGTCATATGAGAGGCTAAGTCCACTTGGTGTTGTCGGTTGCCTTCCAAGGACGGCCTCGAAAGGTGACTTGCCTATGGACTCGTTCCGTTGTAGATTGTGGGAGAACTGTGCCATGTCGAGATGCTTGTCCCAATCGAGCTGATGAGCACTCACGTAGTGCCTTAGGTACAGCTCTAGTAGTGCGTTCACCCTTTCGGTTTGTCCGTCCGTTTGTGGGTGAAAGGCTGTTGAGAACCTTAGGTCGGTTCCCATGAGTTTGAAGAGTTCTCTCCAAAACTTGCTGGTGAACCGCCCGTCCCTGTCGGAGATAATGGAACGGGGTAGTCCCCAATACTTGACCACGTGCTTGAAGAAGGCACGGGCAGCTTCGTGGGCATTGCATTCATGCGTGACCGGGATGAAGGTCGCATATTTTGAGAATCTGTCCACGATGACAAAGATGGCACCAAACCCGTTAGTCTTAGGTAAATTCGTGATGAAGTCCATACTTACGGATTGCCATGGGTAGTCGGCGATGGGGAGAGGTTTGAGTAGGCCCGCCGGTAGTCTTTGCTCAACCTTGTCTTGTTGACACACTAGGCACGTCTCCACATAAGCCTCCACGTCCGCCTTTAGCTTCGGCCAGTAGTAGTGTTCGGTGATAAGGGCTAGAGTCCTCTTCTCTCCTGGATGTCCGGCCCAGCTTGAGTCATGACATTCCTTGAGGATTTCGCGTCTCAAGGTGTCGTGCTTTGGAACGTAGATTCGTCGGCCTCTTGAGTAGACAATGCCATCCTTCTCCCAAAACTTCCGAGTTTGCTTGTTTTGGACAAGTTGGAGAAGTTGAGTTGCTGCGGGATCTTGGGGCATGGCCTCGCGGATCCGAGTTGTAAAGTCGGTCCTAGGCTCACTCCCAATCAAATTTGCAAACTCCGTCTTGCGTGATAAAGCGTCCGCAACCACGTTGGCTTTCCCGGGCTTGTATTCGAGCGTGTAGTCGAACTCGGCTAGGAAATCTTGCCATCTAACTTGCTTTGGGCTGAGTTTCTTTTGTGTTTGGAAGAAACTTATGGCTAGTTGTCCGTCTTGATCACAAAGGAACTCCCGAGAAGGTAATGACGCCAAGTCCGAAGGCAATGGACTATGGCCGTCATTTCTTTCTCTTTCACGGTGTACTTTTTCTCGGCCTCATTGAGCTTGCGGCTCTCGTACGCTATGGGGTGATTTTCTTGCATCAACACGCCACCAATAGCATAATCCGAGGCGTCAGTGTGTACGTCGAATGGCTTGCTCACGTCGGGCAAGGTCATGATAGGCTCCTCGGACACAAGGGTCCGTAGCTTGTCGAAAGCGGCTTGGCATCGGTCTGTCCACTGCCACTTCCTGTCCTTCTTGAGCATGTCCGAAAGTGGGGCTGCTATTGAAGAATAGCCGAGGATGAACCTCCTGTAGTAGTTGACCAATCCGAGAAATGATCGGAGTTGAGGGATGGTCCTCGGTACAGCCCACTCTTGGATTGATTTGATCTTCTTTGGATCCATAAGGAGCTGTCCGTTCTTGATGTAGTGGCCTAGGAACTCCACTTTAGTTTGGGCGAAACTACACTTCTCGAGTTTGATGTAGAGTTCATTGTCCCGAAGAATGCGCAACACCTTCCGAAGATGACCTACATGCTCATGCAAGTCTTGGCTATACACCACAATATCATCAAGGTAGACAACAACAAACTTATCCAAATAATCATGAAAAAGTTCATTCATCATAGTGCAGAAAGTAGCCGGGGCATTGGTAAGC